CACTTTGTTATCTACCTGATGATTGATTTTAGTGCGCATGGCAACGGAGAATTAACAATACAACTGTCAAAGAGTTATCAAGTTTGTATTAACTTGATTATTTGTCTTTCATCTCATTGGACACAAACACAACAGACTTCGGTTACTAATTAAACAGCGCGGGTTGAACTATTATTCAACATGACGACACTGTAGTTACAACGGCTCAAGCGTATGGGAAAAAAAGCAAATAAAGTGATGCTTCCAAATCCTTTCAAAGAGTTATAACATTAAACAAAGCTTTGCACACGACACAAGAAACGATGACTGCGTGCAATTTAAGCCCGCGTGAGGCAGCCTTCCTCTTCGCCTGTGATATCTTGATCTTTTTGCAACACGCACCGTAAAGACTCGAGGACGCTTGGCTTAGGGCGAGAAGCAGTTTTCTTTCATATTTTAATTTTCTGTCAAGGACGTGAGAATGAAGTTTTACCATTGTTAAGGCCGCAAAGTCAATGCTGATTTATTGAGCGGAACGGCCATATATCGACGATAAGTAGCCCTACACGTCTGACTAAAAAACCTAAATTCGTAACCTCAACTTCACGGGGTTCTCAAATGCCAATTAGTATCAAAGCGTTTTTTTCTTCGTTACCTATTCATAACAAGAAATTGTAAAGTTTAGCAGGGACTGTTTGGTGCGGTTTGGAACACACTTTTATTCTTTCCGAATTCTTGATGCGCTCTCCTAACGACTTCTGAACCGATAAGCTCTGTCCTTAGGGATGAACAAGAAATGCAAAAGTGCCAGAATGAATTTGTGCAATTTATATTAACTATTGAGTTATGTCCTGCGTAAGGAGGACCATATGTCAAGGCAAGGTTACCAATGTAAGATAGCGAGATAGCACAGCATCCTAAGCATTTGCCAAAGCATTTGTTTGTCTCGCTGAGATGTAATCACTTTAGCTGGAATTACTCAGTTCTAAGCTCTTTTGCTCAATAGATAACATCAGATATCAGCTTGAGAACGTCACTTACCGTTAACAAAGACGCGTGGTTCGTTAAAAAGGCTACAAGAAAGATGTGTCTGTATTCTTGTCAATCGCACGCTGGGAAACCTCGTTTTTGGACGTATCACAAAGAAAACAACTTCTTGGAGGCAACTAAGTGACGTCAAGACGTCATGCTCGAGTTGAAGGTTTTTATTCCCTCGTAACTCACAAGGGATTTCATTTGAAAAGAAAGCATGTTAGCTGACGCAAAGGTCTATCATATCATTCCTTTTGACTAATCATTGATACCGCCACCGAATTTAGAAGTCTGCAGGAGTTGTAAAAGCCTGTGAGTTTTCGTTGCAGGATTTTGCTTAAGCTTATCAAAAAACTCTTAGTTTTTACTTTAACTCTCTAACATCCTTTCTCTTCTAGAATGTGAGCTATGCCTGCTCTTTCGTCTGTTTCAAATTAAGGAAAGAAAAGGAAAAGAGATCATGTAGCATTGTTGTGGTGTTAATTGCAACATTCGTGATTGCCGATGAGACCTCATTCATGCAAGTCAACGACGCGTAGCGTGCGAAATCAGAATTACTGATTTATTTCAATTTCGTTAAAAATATTTCCATTTTTTCGGAAAAAATAGATTACTTTATTTTTTTCATTGTTTAGATATTCATAACCCAAACATACCAGTGCCAGAGAAACGAACAATTAGTATCTTGTACTCTTAGCAGCGCATAGCAACGTCAAAGCAATGGCTGACTAACATACTGGCCCCAAGGTTATGATAAGAAAAGTAAATAGTTACAAATCTACGTTATTACTTGATTGTTCACTGCAAAAACATCGGAGCCATTAAATTGTTGATCATAGACTTCTGTTGTCAAGTTCTCTATTTTATCGTATTTCCTTAGACCCCTACACAGTTTTTTTTGTTTGTCAAACTTCTGAGTAGAGTAGTTAGTGAAAAAACTTCTCGACGGCGCATTGCAGCCTCTAAAGTTGCCAAGTATGAGTGATATGTTGAAAACCACAGAGGATGTAATTCCGTAAAGCCGTGATACTTTACAGACTTTTATGTAATGGAGGGGACGAAACTTCTCTCTAACCAAGCACTGGTCCATACCAAGGGTTACATAGCTACGGAGAGGTCTTTTTTACGCATACGGAAGTACTTTGCGTCGAACATGACCATTTCAACTAGCTTCCTCCAGTTTGTTTATATGGGGCACTAATGACATTTATCGGGAAATAACATGCAAGGCGGATCTTTTTTCTTGTTTACCCTTGTTTGCTGACAGATTCTTTGTTTCTTACAACCAGAGCTAAGCGAATATCCATTGGCTTGTCATGAGGAACTAATCAAATGAGATCTGACCATAGCAGAGCAAACGGGGCTCATTGGGGGTCAAGACAACTAGTGAGAAAAACTAGAGAGACACCGTGTCTAGTGTACGTGGCGCTTCAGTTCGGCCACGAAAGAAAGATAACTAGTTGATTTCCGGCCACTTGTTGACGTAATGCTTTCGCTTGACTTCGTTTGTTGTGCGCTAATAGATGAAGAGCAAACTATTGCACTAAACATAATCGTGAGTGAATGAAAGGCGGACGGTAACCAACTCCGGATTATTTCGTGAATCACGAACAAATCTTAAGCTCGCACTCTGCATTTAGTTCGCTAATCGGCTTATGGCATCCAAGCTAAACGAGCTACATTTTTCGGGGAAGACATTTGGCACCTTTCGTGCTACTTTCGTGGACTGCTAAGGATTAAACTGCAGGTTGTCCGAAAACAACGATGGAATTAAGTGTTGCTGTATATTTCAGACAAGTTATATGAAGGGCATAGTACTATATAGATACAATTGAATAAAAAACTCCCTCTTGCTTCCGATCGACCTGCTGAGGTAAAGACACTGAAATCAGTATACTCCCTTTCATAATTTTGTTCTTTTATGGCTGAGTTGAGCCCAAGAGCCCCCTTTCTTTACGGTACCGTGACAAACAATAGTCAGTCGGTCGGCTTCTGCTCAAAGACATGTAAATACCACAGCAATGACACAAGATTCGCCTTGGAGTAAACCGACGTTTACTCGCACAAAGCGGTGGTTTAAATAATCCAAAATTATGTCGTCTCTAGATTCTAACATATTCGACTCGTCATTATAGGACAAACTTTATTGTCTGGTCTTCTGTTAAACGCTAAAATCAAACTCTTAAGATACTTCAAGTCACGACCATTAGTAATGAGTTAAGAATGTAACCCTTGCCCTATTTGCTAAACGGCAGCCCCCTCTCAACACGCAATTCAGTCCCACGGCCCGATGTAATGTAGTCAAGGCGGCAGATGGAAAGCCACGTACAAACTTTACATTACGTAATACCTATAAAAAAGGGAAAATTACCCATGGACACGGTTGAAAAAAAAAGCAGACTAAGGCTTGCCTGAGGTTTTCTTCTTTCTTGCCCGCTATCATACGACTTCCGTAGATTAAGAACAGGAAGTCACTTGCTCTTATTGTGAGCGGGAACGAACGTGCGCCTGCCGATGACGTTACAAATCATTCTTACCAACTTAAAAAAACAAAAAAAACTTGTCACGCGCGAAAACTGATACGTGACCCGAGCAGAAACTTCCTTAGGTTTTTTTCTCTGCTTTCGTTTTCGTTTGATCATTTGCCTTTGTGTTTTATCCTTTTAAATTCATTTTAATCTTATGATTTAATAAACCTGAAAATAACATTTCATAGTTCCCCGTCTACAACGTTTTCATCCAACCCTTTCCTGGCGCCTTGTTGTTTCTGTCCATTGTGTGGAAAGTACTTTCAAGTTTTTCTTTAGTTTCAGTCTAATAACCATGTTTCCTATTTGGCTTTAACCCGTAGATTTTTCCTTTGTGGCCTTTTTTTTCGCTACCTTTCTGGCGTGGAAATTAACGTACAGACCTAGCAGTAATTAACTTTAGTAAGCTCGTTAACCCCTAGTATTTGCTTTCCGAATAAACATGTTATTCTGATCATTTTCCATTGGCTGTTTGAAAAATTGCCGCTCGAATGACCAATCTGGGAATTAAAACTTTTGTTTGTGGCTACTTGATAGTCATCTGCCTGACTTCATCATCGTCTTTCTTCGGGTGAGATAGCTGAGCAAGGCTACAACGCGTTCGCAAAACTGTGAAAACAGTTCCCGAATCGTTTACTTTCGTGAGGAAATGTACGATTAGTGAGCTAATCCTGTACGTTAACATCCTTTTCTGCTTTAACCACATGTTAAACGCGTTAGCTAATCCCTAAAATAAGTGATCACGTTCCTGAAGGGTTCTTCAGAGGTTAATTAAATACAAGAATGCCGACTGATATTGCCTGAAAGGTCAAAATGGATTTTCTCTCTGTTAACCTGATGCTCCATCTATTACGTATACGAGAGTTCTTTTCACGGATTAGCATTTTGTTGAGGCTGGGTCTTGATTGCTGACCCTTGATTGCGAAAAAACAAAACAAAAATAGTCTAAGGAGTGATTGGCGTGGGTGGGTGTGCGCGAAATAAAGCAGTCAATGTTCACTGTCGTATAGTTAAAAATAAAAACCGTAGTGGTCAGCAGTGACCGTGACGTTACCTTTTTTTCACAAAAAACGTACCCCGTGAGGTTAGAAACCTTCCATTACGACTGACTTAAGATATTACTGTGATAGCTGTCGTTATCATTAACACTACATTGCAAGGCACTTTAGTCATTCAATAAGGATGCAGTTACTTGTTAATGTCACGCTCGAGACGCAACTATCAATTCAAAAAAGTGCACCATACCCTCACGAACTCACTACAAACTTATTATAAATTTGAGGAACCAAGAACTATGAAGCTGTTAGTCTCACCGGAAAGTCCTTACCATCAATAACAGTCAGAATTGCAATTGAAGAGAAGGAGGAATACGCATTGTTACAAAGTTCAATTATGAACTTTGCACAGTTAAAAAGAAGACTTGACGGTTCTCGCGTAAATATGGAAAAATCATCTACTCTCTACCATGGCCATGGATATTTAATGTTGTTTCACTGAAAGACTTTTAACAAAGGTACGACTTTACAACTCTGAATCAAATCGATAGTACGTTACGCGAATGGATGATTCACCTTAATAAATATACGGTCGAGCAGACAACAGTTAAATTATGTTAGTCGGCATACCGTAGAATCCCAATTTTAAGTCCCTTTCGAAGTCTAATCTTGTTTGGTTACAGATTGTAATTAATACTACAGCTTTAAATTTTTTTTCGTTTCGTTTCCTTTTAGTATTGGCTTGCCCCACCCCCTTCCTATCCCCCGTCACCCCATCAACGCAAGTCACATGGAACGGCCTCTCGGGACAGTGTTTCTTCCGAGGCCTCATAACTGGGATTTTACACTTGCATGACCTGAGCCAATTGACAACTGCATTTACCAGTAATGATCATAATTTGCACCTGCACCAGCGATGGCTTGATGTCCAAGGCTTTCTGAACAATAAGGTATTTACATTTCACTTTCCTTGACTAAATAAAAAGCATATTGGATGGGCGAAGAAGTGACCAGTTCTCTTTCAATTTTTGACTGAAAACAGTTTTTTTACAATAAAAAGGGAAGACATACATAAAAATCCTCCAAAGTGTTACAGATTTCTTTTTAACACACTCACATCCGTGATTTTCCACAAGCTGTATACATCAGTTGAGATAGTAGTTACTGATGATGAATGCATCATGACGTTCCTTGGAGCACTCTAACGTAAAGTGACTGAGGAGGGCTTCGTAATTCACTTATCGGCAGAGCCAAAGCTTTACCGCAAAAAATATTTCATTGAGCTCGAGGCTGACGTGGAAATGATGTTCTGACCAGAGCTGCAGAGGAAATTGAATTCTAATTTGCTGCTGCGAAGAATCAAACATGGCAATCCGTTATTGATAGGTTACGCTGTCTCTGTCTTACGTTCCAATGAAGACACTCGGCCAGACTTACAAACCAGTCCGCTATCTGATTTTCACTATTTACACACGGCACAGGGTAAATAGACGTCGTAATTTGAATGCTGAAAAGTAAAAACAATGGTGAACTTTGGAAAGAGAGGATAGTTTTTCCTCCTAGCTGAGGTCGTCACTTACGTAAATCTGACAACAAAATTGATCTCTCCTCCTGCTAACACAAGTCCTGATCGACTGATTTTGCTGCCCTTCGAATGAACGGCTTCACTCAATCCGTATGCGTGCAAAAATATATGTACCTCATCTCGATATGCAGTTTCCGTGACAAAAGCCTGGAGAGACTTATGAAAAATGGCGTGTCGATTGTCAAACATGGCCAATTTGTGGGAATGACAGCTCAGTTGTTTTTCTCGATACATTTACTGTATATTCAAACTATATTCTGCACAGTAAATCCACCATAGTGTCACTTTATATGAAAGGTGTTAATTTTTTTCGTCCCGAACCCATACCAGATCTTCTAAAAAACATTATCTGTACCCACAGGCAGCCCAAGTATAAGGAGAGGTATTTTTTATTGAGAATTTGACTGTATTTTTTATTCCTAGGAGCGGTCGTAAATATTTCCATACATGACCTTATTTCGCAAGATGATCGATATCATCTCGTAGCTGGAGCTATGGCTGCCTGTGCTGTACTTAGTCTAACAGTGAACAAGTTAGCTGGTGTCTGAAACGATGACTTGAAAAAGACACAACGCATGAAGACAAAGATGAATCTTCACCTGTCTCCCACGTGAAGTTCTTGTCGCTGTCTTCCATCAAATGAGGTCCAAGCTGAACTTCTGCTCTCTGAACTGACTACAATCTATAGTTGCATAGAGAAAGAGAAAAAGCAATTCTTGAGTCTAACATTGCTTACTTACAAAACAGAAGCTTTTGTTTTTTAACTGCTCGTTCGTTTGTCTTATTTAAGTTTTCCAATTTTATAAGCTCTTTATACCTTAAGTTCTACTCCCGCCGGGAGGATGATGGGCCTGAATGAGAGAGAGTGCGGACAGACAGGAGTAACTAAGATTCCGGCCACGCTGGGGTGAACCATCGAGGCTCCTGCAGCTACTGCATATGCTGTACTGCCAGTTGGGGTGGAGACGATAAGACCTGCAAAAATCAAGGTTATTAACAACGTACATGTCACGGTCATGGGAATGAATTCTCAAGGATCAACTGCAAGTTGATAATCTAATCAGCGTGATTCCTTTGAAAGCTTTTGGAAATTAGTATGCAATACACCTTTGTACACTGACGATCTGAGAAAATAAACGACAGAACAGGATGAGTGTGAAGGGACAGCATCTTACCGTCTCCTTGTACGGATGTGATGTGGTGGTCATTGCAATATATTTCTAAGTTTGTGAGGTACGAAGACGGACCACGGTCAACGACCACCTCGTTCAATACCTGTAGGGCAAAATCACATGTACCTATCATTAAAAATAATTCAAGAAAGTAGTATACCAAAAAAATAAAACTGGACTAAAAAGTTAAAGGAATTCACAGAAGACGGTAACGATTGAAATCCGAATACTGATGGTCAGCACTCTAATGTAAGACTGCAGTAAAACATCCACATGCTCGACAAGTGGATTAAGAACCTTCAGGCAAATGTGATGAATAAAGTACCCATTAAAGAGGAACTACTTCAGCCTACTATAATTGAACAGGTTCTTTTTTAAAAAATAATAGTAAGTATCAACGTTAGAAAACAGTGGCTTTTGACATTTATTCCATAATCTCGATTTAATCACCAAAAATACTACCTCACTCTTACATGCACAAGCCCCATCTGGTTTGAGAGTGCCCCCTCTTAGTACAGGTGGAATCAAACAATGAATTCACAAAGCCTGTACACTATTACGCAGGTCTTAATTGCTTTTTTTTTAATTGCTTTGTCTTTTTCTGCGTGTTTGTTTGTTTTTAAGTTTTTTTTTTTAACGACAAGCTTAAGGCAAACTGTCATAAAACTCTTAACAAAAATTCTGGGCTCAGAGAAGAACATTCGTTATTTTAAACCCCTAATTAGGTAATTAAGCCTTTTTCAGTTGCGGAGAGTCAAAATCTACAACAACAACTACGCAGCTCCTAAACCATGAGTCAGTAATATGCTACAGATGGACAAACCAAGTGACGTGTCTTTTTCGTATAGCCTTTGTCTTCCTTGTCACGCTTGATAAAGTCACACTGGAGTCTGCTTCTTAGAGTTAAGCCCGCACGACCTGCAAAATTCTCTACGTTAACAATATATCAAAAGCAATTAGAAATGCGAGTAGCTTAAGGACTATTCTCTCAGTGTAATGTTCCCTCATCATACTGATGTTCCCCTAAGGAGAGAAAACAATGCTACCATGGTACAATAAATTGCCTTTGAGTTCCCTTCCATCACGGCCAATTCCAGGCATGAAAGCTTAAGTCAATTTGAGTATATTTTAAAGAAAAGCTTGTTCTTCCTGGAGCCCCTCTTGGGGCCACAAGAAGTCAAACTCACCTTCTAAGATTTCGGTTATTTCATCTCGAAAATCTTGAAATCTAAACGACGTGAGAAATCCCAAAGAACCAAGATGAAATGCCATAACAGGAGGGCAGCTGGACTGTAAAAAGCAAAATGGTACTTGAGTTGTACTTTGGCTTTTAGTCTGCTCTTATCATTTACATGGGTTACCGAGACTTTGCTGTTAGGACTCTCTTCCCACCCACAGAAGTCACCTACAAGACTGACAGTCAGCTGTACCGTCATTAAAACGCGTTTTCAACGATTTTCAAGAGTTCAGTCTGAGGAGTGGTTGTCATTTGGTATTCTAGATAAACCGAACGGTTGCTTATTGTGTCCCCTTCATAGCAATATTTTTGGCTCGTCACTGATCAAAGCACGCGGAGAGAGCTATTCCTTTAATTATCTTTAAAGCCCTACTCAAGACTCGGACGAGGGCTGTGATGCAGCGCACTTTTACTGGATCTAACATTGCACCAGTCTCTTCACTCAGGCGATTCACCCATACATTTACTTCTTTGCACAATCTGGAGAGCAATTCATGCTTTCTTGGTCCACTTTGTTTCAAGTTGGAAAGACACAAACGATCTTGTAATCCACAGACATCTTTAGCAATAATCGAAAATTCATCAAATACCATCGACTACCGACACAAACTATTTGGATACTCACCTGAAACAAAGATGAAGCATGCAAAAGTGTTCCATCCCCTCCCAAGCAGATGACAAAGTCGATTTTATCATCTAACTGGTCGCCTGAAGAGTTATCAACAGAAAAGAAATCAAACACGCGGTTATGCGAGATCAAATCACCGCATGTAATGAAAGTAAAGGTGCTCGTCTTTCTTCATCCGCAGATAATAAGAGAATATCTATTGCTTGGTGATAAATGGCTTATTTAGCATCTTTCGTTTGAAAAAAAGATGCTTAAACTAACAAAGCGTTCAGGTTCGATTCAGTTTGTATGCATACTTTCATTCATAGAGATAGGCATGACAACTTACCCTCTTTAAAAATGCACATTTTCGATCTCACACATGTAAATTTTTCGTCTTTGCGTACTAGAAGATCCCGTACAGCAGATTCTTCAGCGTAAATAACCATTTTTCTCTCCTATGAAATTATCAATAGAAGATAGAAAAGGTATTCAACATCCAAAATGATATTTATTTCATACATAGTGAGATTTACACTGTGAAGTTCGTTCGTGTCTCCGATTGGACGAACGATGTATGTCACAGTCGTTCGCCTCCAATCTTTGAATTGAAATGTGAAAAAAACTCAGTAAGTACGAAATAAAAACATCATACCATGGAAAATGCTTGAACGATTTTTATTCACGAGTTGCGATGCATCAAAAACTCACTCGTTCTCTGCGCTCCGTCGTTCGTTTTTTCGATGCATCGCAACTCGTGAATAAAAATCATTCGTGCGCACTTTCCATGGAATAATCTCTATATAAACTGTATATACTCCATTTGGCGCTAATTTAATGCTAGAGTATTTTTCCGCGAACAACTGTGCAGAGAAGAAAACGTTTGGGAGAGCGAACGTCGTTGAAAACTGCTGTTGAGCCTCGAGGAAACAGCCGATAATGTCCAAGGACAAATATAAACGGATTATTTCAAGCCAATTGGGCGCTAACGTGTTTATTATCCCTAAAATCTAATTGGAAATAAATGTACACATGTTTGTCTCGTCCTCTGTATACCAACAGGAAAACATTCTCCCAACTTGTGTCCATTTTTGTAAAGAAGACATTTACTGCACTGAATCCTTAGTTTACGGAAAATTGGGGGATATCAACAAATATTCTCCAGTTTTAGCAAAGATTTATATTCACCCCAGACGTGACATACCATAACATGCTGGTTCTCTAAAACATAGTACAATCAACTTTGGCCTCACCTCTGTAAGCCATCTGGTAAGTTCCTTAAATCTCTCCGTCACCTCCTGATCCATTAGTTTTTTTATTACTAGCACATTCTGGGGTGGCTTGGCCCAGGCCAAGAAGTGCTCCGAGGGGTCTACATGGCTGCTATAGCAGGAATATGGAGGAACGAAGTTGCATTTGGTTAAACATATTTAATCTGAGAGAAGACTGACATGACCCAGACGTCAATAGTAGTACTACCTCATCTACACCATGGTCTGATTTGAGACAAAAAGGAAGTTTGATGGTTTGTTTGAGATTTCTCCTGGATTTCAAGCAAATATTTAGCTTTAAGCCCACCACAAAGTCGTTCGTCATTACGTGATTAAGTTAAGAACATGCAAAGGCTATTATATATCTTCGTCTATAAAAAAGGTTTAACCCAGTTTCATTTGCAATACAGTTCCAGGAGGTCCGTTATCATAAAACCTCACCACTAGAATATTGTTAGTGAGAAAGCAAGTTTCAACGGTAAGATATTCACGTTTGTGTTAACTAATGACCACCCAGCACAACGTAGATATTCCACCTGTGGTATTCGAAGAAGACAAAAACGCGGTTACCTGCCTGGAAGTGAGAATATTTCCGAAAATACAAGTATATCCTAAAGACCGATCCGACCCTAAAATCAGTACTGAACCTGTATTTCCAAGAAACTATTAAACTGCGTAAATGACGTCGGAAAATAAATTAAAAACCCAACAGGACACGGAACAGTTCAAACTTGGGGCTTTACTTTTGATGGGAAATTGCCTGAGCTAATGTGTCCAACATACTAACCATTGGCACTAAAACTAACAAGAAAACTAAAGAACTATTAGAAAGGGTTATTTATTAGCTAAAGCACATTTATTCAGTGAACGAAAAATAAATCGCTGCAGGTGAGAGCTATGTTTACGAAACGTCAAGACTATTCAAGAGAGGCTGAGAATAGATGTGTAAGGTTTCATTCAAACTTCAAACGACCGCACCCACGCAAGCATTCATAACTTAAACAATTAGTTTAACGGTTAGAGTGTAGCAGATTTGCGTGTCTTTTGTTTGTCCTTCTTTGTTCTTTTCATAAATATCACGTCATTAAACGTCATTGATTTGAGTTACCACAAGCAACGACACAAAAAGACGAAATGAAAAAACCCCCCCCCAGAAAAAAACGACTTAAAAACATTTAAAACAAACGAGAACGAACAATATTGACACCTTTGATTGACAACTATTACTTTGCTTATAGCAAACAAAAAATCGTAACCGTGACGAAAGTAAGGGGGTAAGTTTCTAAAGAAACTGTGGTGCTGCGTCGGTGGGAGAGTATAGCAGGTAATTTAGTGTTAACAACTGGGTTGAAAACGTAAATTAGCCACCGTAAAGGGTAAAAAGGCTGACGTTTCGAGCGTTAGCCCTTCGTCAGAGCGATTGAAGTAGTGACGAAAGTAGTTCAACATGCGGCCTTCATTAGCATAGTCACTGAGATTGTTATTGTTTTCTCGACAAAATATCTTGTTTGTGTATCTAAAACAATTAGGAAAAAGTTTTGTACAGTCTTCAAAAATTCAGAAGATAATTTCGTTTATTTAAATAAAAATCTATATTTGTATGTTCAATTGAGCCCTATTATTATTTGGCGCAAGTGGGGATTTCAAAAACATGTCAGACTAGTTACCGAACTACTTATGCATTAGAGACAGAAGTTGAGAAGATATTTTACCAATTTGTGGAAGCCTCCTTTGAATTTCTTTGACTCTGGTCACTTGGAAACGGCTCAAACTGATTAGTCGGCTTCAAGTTGAATTTCCCATTTATCCATTTGCGACCCCGATGGTCATTTTTCCTCTGCAATTTCTTTGCCGAAATAGCCTTCATAACATATGAACAGGGGGAGACAAAACCATTAAGAGACGATGATTCCATAACGCGGAAAACTATCTCAATCGCCACGAAACATGAATTTTAACAAAGCTTGTTTCCGTTTTGTAACACGACGTCAAATATCACTCGGCGTAAAGAACGACGTTCGGCCGGCTTCTGATGAGCTGTGTATGACGATCACTCGCCAAAACGTGAGGAGCAAATGACGCCCAATAATGTGTGTTGTTATGCATATTATCAAATTAAATTAACATCATTGTTCAAGCAAGTGAAGAACCAAGCTTTTATCAATTAAGAGATCAAGCTAAAAATCAATACTCCAGATTTAACCCGAGGTTCTGAATACGCACATACAAGACGTATGTTCTACGGGTTCTACGCAAATTCAACACGAAATATACTGATAAGGCAAGTCGTTCAAATTGATTTCCAGAGACAATCGTGACAGTGGTGGAAACACTGACAAGTGGATAATTGTAAATTGACTGGCTAAGCGAAACGTTTAAAATTTCGCAATCCTTTAGGATTTATGAGGACTATTTCATAAAAAAAATAGAGCACTAAGTTGACCATAACTGAACATTCTCTAAGGTCATGTTCATTACGCAAGCACAATTCTCTACAATCCAATGGAACATAAATGAAAGTAGGCTTTTTCACAATTCAGTATGAGTTATGGAGAAGCAATAATTCAAAATTTAGGACGCAATATGCCGAAATATCACACCTGGGGTCTCTTAGTAAAAACCTAAAAGTAGCGATAACAAAACGAGAGGACACGAACCGAGGACTTGGTGGAAAGAAGTTTTGAATATCAAAGCCAATATCGCTTACAAAACACATATCATGTTTGAGATGAGCAATAATGATTTTTACATAACAAGCGATAGTTCCCAGAAGGGAGTTGCTCTTCTGCCGCTACACCAGTACGAAGAACAAAAACAACTAACAGAAAAAGATGTGAAATTAGCATTAAAAAAAATCATTCTCAAATATCATCACCACAGAAGGTAAGGAACAAATACTACGAAGAGCAAAAGCAAAATGATTTTAGTACTCGTTTGTCAGTCGCAGAGAATCCAATGACGTCAAAGTGACTAAAATAAGAATGACTTATCGACTGATTAGCAGAGGAGAGATGAAGGTAAAATTTCCGAACAGCCCCATACTACATTATACATTCAGTTCTTGGATCTAGAAAACAATGAAAAGAACAATACATTTCCATTGGGAAAACAGATTTGTTTTACAGTAGTATGGGGCTGTACGGAAATTTTACCGAGATGAATAACATAGGAGCGACTCTTACAGGTAGGATGTCAGATGATAACGAATTTTACAGCCCAGTCGTTTCTAGGCATGCTCTTGGGCTTAAAGGGACTAGGTTACGTAGTGAGCCTGCGTACCGAGTTCTTCCAGTTTGACACTTAAAGGCGTCAAATCTCTATTGTTCCCATCGTTATTAAAAAGAAGCAAAGCACGTCGGTGTAAAAACCGACAATCACGAGGTGTTTTGGTCACGTACTGTTGAGAATGATGCGAGGAAATTAAAATTCAAAATGTGGCAATTCTCGCTCTCTCTCTTAATGAAGTTATGTTCCAACTGTCTCGGGCAAGAATAAGAAATATAAGCAAACTCTCATGCACTTTAACGTCGAAGTGACACATCCAAAACATAACAGTTTTCCTGGGAGATTTATTCAGTGTAATCATTTATTCAGTGCCAGTGCTCAAAAAAAAAGAAAAAAAGAGGGACAATATTCCAAGATTAACCGGACTGTATGGAACTCGACGGCAAAGGCTACCATTTCCCCCCATTTCTAAATACGCATGTACGAGTTGCGACCTAGCCTTAAACATTACGATGCTTGCTCCATACTTGTCTTTTTTTTCGCCATTTTATCGGCATCCGTGGTCTACGTAAATACAATGTAAAATTTTTTAAATTGAAATTCAAGCACTTCAACATTGCATTTGATTTAATATGCTGTAGTATTTAATACATTTACCGACGAATTGCTTTTGTATTTTGGGGTAAAAAACAGCAAGTGTTTTGATATCGTAAAAGTGAAACGGAACCTTGCATGTAAAGCAGGAGAGAAATCAAAATACGACGTCTTCGCAAAAAATTTGTAATGAGTTGATAAAATTCCGCTTACAATAATGGGTAAGCCATGTCATCGTGTGTCACAATAGGCAAAATACATCTGTTACACGAGTCTATTGATACCCCTGTTGTTTTTGGTCAATGGATAAAGTTATTCTTTATAAAAAAAACGTCTGACGAACTTTCTTTGCATGTGCTTTAACGATTTTTCATAAGATCAAGATAATTCAACACCATTCTCCTTATAGGAATTTAGAATGCAAACAACCGCCAAGAACTGGTCATATATATATCAACCAAGAATCATTTACCTCGTACATGTCCAATAATACATCGCTAAGAGGCTTACAATCACGAACGCCCGTCTTCCTAACTCGGAGCCAATTCGGCGGATCAAGATCCTAGCGAAGTACAACTAGTTTTGCACATGATAAAAAAATGAAAGAAATGGGTACAATATACTCATTCATGATTCAAATTACGCAGAGCAAATCTATATCGAACCAATCAGTAGGAAACAATACTTATGAAAACTGATAACGAAATGACTAAACGAAGATAAAATTTTCGGTTGAAAGTGTTAAATAACTTTTGGTTCCATATTTGCTATGTATATGGAGTATAATTTAGCCGTAAAGAATTCACGGGGACAGCGGTGCTTTTTTTTTTCCCGGTAAGGGCAATGACGATTCAAAAATGATTCACTGAACCTCCCATTCCATTTACAATGCCACGATGTCGAAACTTTGAAAAGGTTTACCACACTGTTTTAATAAATATTGTTTCAAATGTTCGGCAATTAATTTTGAAAATAAGTTGTGGTCGACAGAGATAAAACCAAAACTTTCGACGCTAACATACCTCCTAAAACATCGTGGAAGTTTTTTATAAAATAAAACACTCTCACTTTCGATGGAGGAAATTCAAACACTCTTGATCAATAAGTAAGATTGTGCAAACTATTGACCAAAAATTGGCAACAAACTTCTCCAAAGAGGACGTCCGAAAAGGTATCTTCGATTACGAGTTGTTGGATTGCGGGACTAACATACGGAGGGTTGGCAATCAAAGTGTGCCGCATCTACCACAGGCATCTCATGCTCACGCCACGAAAAAAACGTAAAATATTTACAAAGAAAGCGTCAACCGTTGTGTAGGTCTGTGGGTGACCTTCCAATCGACATAGTGTTTAGGTTAAGTAATCTATTGCATAACTTGCACCTGTTGCAAAAAAGTCATGTACTGGTGAAACAGGAAGACGACTACGTGACCGATTCCAAGAACACTTTCGCGAAGCAGAAAGAAATGACAAGGATGCATCCAAACCAGTCACTGGACACTTAAACCTTCCTTATCATTCTAAGCAGCATTTAGCAGTTTACGGCCTTTCCCTACATCTCTAGGTAGTTCGAAAAGCGGCAAAACTATAGAGAAAACATTTCTCAAATTGTTACTCTTAAACCGCAAAACTCTAGAGCAAAAATCTCTCAAATTGGTACTCTTAAACCCCAGTATATCACCGAACGCTTTTTATTCAACTAATTTAGTCTTGTTTTTATAGTTACAATGTTCCCGCCAATAGCGTACTCCATTTTCTGCATAAAAAACCCACACACAAACCACAATTTTTCCATTCGCTTTGACGAAGGGCTAACGCTCGAAACTTCAGCTTAGAAACTCTTAACAGCGGCCAATTTACGTTATCAACTCAGTCGAGAATACCAAATTACCAATTCAAATTAGCTGTCCTCGAGAAAGGCCGCTATAGAGCACAACAGAGAACGACGCCCATAAAAAAAGGCACCGCATGTTTGATGTTACCTACATAGAGTGTAGCTTTTCCGCTTCCATTCTCTGTTAGTTTTTTTTGCACGACCATTTTGTTTTCTTGGGATTCAGTATTTTTTCTTTTGCATAATATGGCAATTTCGCGAAACCTCGGTGAGGCCTTTGCGTCGCTACCTTCGGAATTTACCACCAACCATGATCAATCAGTTCCACAGGCGCTCGCCTAACCCTCTTTACCATTAGTTCCCTTTGTGTTAAATTGTTCAGTTAAAACGCAGTAAGCTGGACTTTTCTTGTTTTTGTGTCAATCACAAATTAAGGAAAGTACACTGACGGCCCCACAACGAATATGTGTGCCCTGTATGCTTCTTGGAGGATATTTCATTCCCTTTTAAATCCAACCAGACCTCTAAATGAGGTGTTCTTTGTATCTGTGTGTTGAAACATCTTTTTTCTTATTTGTATCTTTATTTGCTGCTTTGCTGCCCCTTGCACTATCTTTATTCGGCTCTGTTAGCTTCTTGAGTTTGAAATTTCGCTTTCCATTGATGTTTAAATTGGGAGTCTTTATAATTCGATACATTAAAATTCAACCATGGCTCCGAGGCTTGGGGGAAAAAACATAAGAAATCACATCGAGGTTGAGGGATCAATATTTAAATTCTTTGTTTTATCCCCCTTAGCCTCGAAGCCATGTGTAACTTAGATTTTTAATACATCGAAAATGGCCAATTAAATTCTTCTTCTCCTTCATAATGACATCATATTTTGCCGATAAACTGGTGCTCCCCAAAGGACTACTCTGGCTTTGCTAAGTATTTCTTTATTAAGTATTTCTTTATTTAGTAACTAACCTGCGCTTCTTTTCATCTTCCCACAGGTGTCCTTTCCTTCCAAAGAGAAGTACAGGTGGAGGAGGATTTATTGATCTTCTTCTGGATCTGCTACCTCCGCTTCTGAAAATTAAGCAATTTAACTCTTTCAACAAGAACTTATGCAGATCGCAACTGAGATCAATTTATTACATATTCTATTAAGTATCGGAGTTATGGTGAAAGCCCCACCAATTCAATATTGATGAATGTCCACCAAATTCAAAATTGATTTTTAAACAATTTTTGAAGAAAGAGATCAAATACTGGAGAAGTGCGGAACAGGACAACAGTCAGTCAGTTGAAGAGTGAAAGTGAAACTGAAAGCAAATTGCAGCATATTAATTTGCGATACTATTGCTCATTCTTTTGTATTTCAACCCTTTTAGCGTCAATGAAAGCTGATCATGCTAACTATTTGTATGATCCCTGTATGACAGCTATATTAAATGATAGCCATTGACGAAAGGCTGACTTCACTGTACACTCAAGGCTGGTTGATGCAGTCATGAAACTTCAAAGAGCATCCTTGATTTCCTTCATCATTGGGTATACAGTTTCTATTTCAGCTGGCTCCTCTCAAAATGAAAATTCAGTTTCATCCACAGACTTGAGCTCTCATCGATAAAATTTTGTGATTTCATTATAGGGTGTGTGCTGAGATAGTGGGAAAGGATTTTTTTAAGATAAAAAGGTTTTTTTTTCTCCATCTTATCTTTCCCAACAACTTCATGTACATTATGGGTGTGTCTACCACCCTTAGGAGGATCCCATAAACCTGCCACCGACTATAGCTAGAGAAAGTCTGGAAAAGCTGACAAGTAATAGTGGAAAATTTACAAGATTATGGTTTCTACCACTGTAGGGACCCTAAACATGATTTCTGGTCACTGACCACAGTGATGAAAATGTTATACATGTGCAATATTGACCAAGTGTTGGGTCGTGATGGCTGGGTATTGGCCAAGTTTTTTCACATATTTATGGATATATACCAAAACAATTTCATTCTATAAGAATCATGAATGACTTGTTTCTTTCAAGAGCTGAGAAAAATAGCCAACTGTGTTTGTAGCACAATAGGCCCACAACAGTCATTTATTCTTTTTCTGTTTTTACTGTCTTCTGTCACTTTTTGTGACTCCCTCACAATATTATCCAAAAATGATGAACTTTGGTAGTCCGCTCTATGCAATGTTTTTCTTGTGCAGGATCAAAGTAGGAAATCCTGAGCAGGCAAGATGGGCCAATGACAAACACAGGATTTGTTTCATATTACCCATGAGTGCTGCCAGTGATGTACAATGTAACATAAGATGTATATTGCATATTGATAATCACTGGAAAACCTTGATATTATCAAATAAGACTGACTGCTTATTATGTTTGACCCACAATAAAGATTATTTTCAAGAGTTACTTAAGAAAGCAATTAACATTAGCACTTGTTTGGAAGGCATCGTTCTGATTTTCAAGTGACTAAAGCCTAATTTCATTTCTTCTCAGGTTTGTTTCAAACAAAGAGACAACTTCTCTCTAAGTCTCATTTAATTCCTAGAAATAAATCAATATCACTTCTAATTGATAATACTCCTTTCTTTGGTTCATATTTCAGACCTGTTAACTTCTTTCTAACACTTGGTCTTACTAACACCTTGGTCCCTATATTACATTATTTTTTCTTTCTCTTTTATTGGGGAAAATCCAATAAAAAAAATCCATACATAATTATAGCACTTATAAAGTCAAGGGAGTAAGGATATTATGCACTGACACCAATTTTTGGTATGACCTAAGGAGTCTGGTTCCCAGAGAATGTGCAATGATTGACATATGGTTTGATGTTGAATTGAAACGCTTCCTTTTTTAGGAACACAGACTTGTGAAGTATTTAATGAAGAATGCAATTTTGCTTCCTCACTACTATTCGAACCTATTGAAATATCTTTCTCCAGTTTTGTCATCTTTTGTGATTGCTTTGTTCCATCACCACAAGCCTGTAAACCCATCATTATACAAGTACTTAAAATCTTAGGGTTGGTTATTCACACAAGCCCTAACCTAATTAATGGGCCTCAGGCTTTCTCTACAAGAGGGTTGATTTAATTATATTTCAGCTTTCTTGACACTGTTCTCAGAACAAGTGTTCAGGTAAAAGACTCAGCTAAATTGAAGATTGTCTCGGACATGAATTTGTTAAACAATGCCAAAACTTTGCTTAAATAATCAGGCTGTAATGACCAACTTAATTATCTATATCTTTCTGAAAGTGATTTCAGAGATGTGCAGTGAGTTACCTATTCCAACCATCTTTCAAAAGGCCACACAACCAAGAATGCATACAAATATCTATTGCTTCAAAATCCCAACTTTCAAATTGGATAATAGTGAAACAAGTGATTATAAGTCCCATCAAAATTGGTAATTAACTACCATGCAAGTCTGGGCTCTAAACCTTGTGGTCATTTATCAGTCATGATGGGTATTGAAAAAGAAAAAACAAAACAAAAGATGCTACATTCCATTGTCATTGGGTATGAGAAACATGAGTATGAGTACTTCTTGCACCATTTTTTTCCTAAATTTTACTCTTCCAGTGGTAACAGGTGAAGCCTAGCCCCATAGATGCCATGGTCACTTCATCTATATGCATATAAAATTCATCAGCTTCCAACAGTTTCAAATTTGAAATCTAAAATTTAAAATTCAGACATGCCCTACAAAAAGCAGTTTGTTGTATTGTATTTGAGACAATCTTGTTTAATCAACTGTGTTGATAATGTAAATTGGTCTCCATGAAGTCTCTTGGACTGGCATCTCAAGCATTAGCCCTTTGTCAGAGCGAATAGAGGAGGGGTTAACTTGCAAAATGTCAGCTTTAGAAACTCTTAATGGTGGCCAATTTACATTATCAACACAGTTGATAGTGTAAATTGTAACAAGGCAGCACTTCATCTTCTTCAGAAACTTAATCCCCCCTTCATTTTATTGTATATGGACCAGCTTAGTATAAATTATCTATACAGTTACTGCTAGATTTGAGTTGTCTTCACTGAATTGTTATAACTGTGCCTGTACTGCTCTACCTTTCATGATGGAATGTCTCAACAAAGTTACAGTTATTCATATGGAGTTGTCCACTGACAACACCACTTCATCTGTGGTGGAGCATCAGACCAAAAAAATAAGTTGGTCTGGAGTTTGAATCAGTATGGACTGAATTGTTTTTTGACCCACACTTCTATCTTCTTTTATTTGAAGTGCAAGCTTAAAATTTACCCAGATTAAGCCTGATTACAATGCCTTGGTCAATCAATCCTCCTTAAGAGAAACTTTCACCTTTAAAAAAAATTCATGTCTGTCAAGAGTTAAATAACCATTAACCTAGCTTAGTAATGCTTTCATAGGACTTTTAAAATCCAGACTTTGATTTTCAATGAAACACTCACAGGTTTTTCTTTAACCAATGTTTTCACAGTCTGTGGTGAGGATATTTTAGCTGTGATCACACTTATGTGTCCACCTGCGCCAGTTCTTTAGGGGAAATGTTAAGTTTGCAAGATCAAGGTAACTGAACATTCGTTTTTATTTGCCCCCCCCCCCCCCCCCCCCCCCCCCCCCCCCCCAACCCTGCAAAGCTTGATATGTTTCTTGTAGTTAAATTTCTCTCACACACAGGTGGTCCAATATCCACAATCACTGCGGAACTTAATTATCATAATCATGTAGTTTTCAACAGATTCCTTCAGATTCAGTCGGTGCAGACCAGTTCTTAATCAAAGAAGTACTACATACAATTTCGATTATTGGAGAAAAAACTGAGTCACTTCCAATAGATTGTCCAGAATTTGACTCAAATATCAAATAGCTTTGCAAACAGTAAGTCCGTTCAAAACACGTTAAAACAATACTTCTAGTAAGTCGAATGTATACATTAAGACAGCTGTTTTCATGACTTAGTAATTATTGTACTCATTGCAGAGCCATCAACATTTCTGCTCCTCAGTTATTATGTTTTGACTCTTTTGACCACTTTTGGAGTCAAATTTCATCGGCACTGTTGGTTGTGTTTAGGAATTGTAAGATAGACAGGAAAGATGGTGCAGTAGGTATCACAAAGCAACGTTACATAAACACAACATGGGCACGACAGTCTGGGAAATCAGCTTTAGTCTTAGCTGCCAACTGTAACGATTGTCAAGATTACTTTGTGAGAAACAAGCACCGTAATAATTTTATACGATAGATAGTTACCGGAATATATGATTAGGAACTACCGGTCGAGTATATCCTTCCGACGCTTGTACATGTAAAAGTTCATTCGCCCACCAAATCGCCTATAACACTTACCCAAGTCGATAGCATCCATTAGCATTACATACTAGCCAGGATGACGATTTTTCGCTATCTCCAGCTGATTCATCATTTTCTTTTAAACGCGCTGGACCTGGAGCGCTCACTCTCCTCGCCATTTCTTGTCAACAAGCTCTCACACTTTCGAATTACTATGGTTGCGGAGGTCTGGGGCTACAGGTAAATCACGCACTTCCTTGGTTACGTAACCAAATTTCGTCCTCCACAAAGGCAGTATCAACAAGCACTAAACATGAATATCGCTTAAGTTTTTCCGTTCGTAAAACATGTGTAAAGAGAAAAAGTATGAGTCAGCGAAAACAAGGTGAGGCTTTCTTGTTGAAAATTGGTTCGTGTAATAACCATGTTGGGAAAATGACCTGAAATCCCATACAAATCCGTGTGATCTATAGCCATATTTGATATTGCGTGACGTAAGCTACTCGTTTCTCTGCACTCACCTGATTGACTAAACGACGAAGTGGAGATATGACAACTTTTAGTAAACGGATGCGTTTACGCACGTAAACGTTCATTTCTACTGACATGATATTCGTGAGGCGCGTTCAAGTGCGTGGAAAAAACCCGACAGTGGAAATATAGCTTTAGTTAAAGAGGAAAATGTCCTATGCAAAGAGTGAGGCGATGACTGCGAACGGATCTTTTCCTCAAATGAGCATTTTGAGTTACTATATTTCTTAGGGCTACTATTAAATTATATTTGTGTGGTAGGAATAGGACCTATCGCCTTTCTTTTCCACCCAAAATACGAACTGGAGCCATGACACAAGACCTGAGAGAATCTTACGACATCAATTTTGTGAAAATAAATGTAAAACGCAATGGAGTCAACATTCATGAATTCCAGGTCAGTCCAATGAGTCGTAAATACTCACTTTTTCGCGGTACTTAATTCCGATTCGTGTCTCTAAGGAATAAAATTCGCAAAAAGACCAAAGATCATGTCTGCATTCAAACCATAGACATCGCCCTGTCATGATGTTATAATTAGCAGCTATGGCTAACATCGAAGCAAACAAGCATGTCGCGGTGATATTGCCATTACCAAGAGGTCAGTCAAATATTTGGAACACTTTGCCATCAAGAGGATGATGTAGCCCAGAAAAGCTTAAACTCCATTGCAACATACTTTGAGTAACCAATATCTATTGCATCTGTTCATCGACTTGTTCCTTGCATTCACTCCTTAAATAGCTCATCTTGGATAGCCATCAACGAAACGAAGATGAATGTAAAACAATGATTTTTGACTCTGATCGGGAAAACGATTTTACTTATCGATCTGAAAAAAAAACTTGAGCTTCATTTTGAAATATGAAATATAATGTATCCAAATTGATAGCAGATGTCCTTGCTGCCTCATTCTTTCTGATTAGTCGATAAGGTATTGGTTAAGAAGGATGAAATTGGTAAAGCTGTCTATCGGTGGGCCACCCAGCCAGCATGTCAGTTTGTCAGTCAGTCAGTCATGATCAGTCAGTCAGTCAGTCAATCAATCGCTCAGTCAGTCAGTCAGTCGGCTAGTCAGTCAGTCCGTCAGCCAGTCGGTTAGTCCGTCAGTAGGAGCCCATTACTGAATGGGCTCCTGTCCATCAGTCAATCAGTCATTCAATCATTCAATCATTCAGTCATTCAGTCATTCAGTCATTCAGTCATTCAGTCATTCAGTCATTCAGTCATTCAGTCATTCAGTCATTCAGTCATTCAGTCATTCAGTCATTCAGTCATTCAGTCATTCAGTCATTCAGTCATTCAGTCATTCAGTCATTCAGTCATTCAGTCATTCAGTCATTCAGTCATTCAGTCATTCAGTCATTCAGTCTTTTGGTCGGTCAGGCAAACAATCAGTTGATAAGTTAGCCAGTCAGTCAGGCAATCAGCTGGATGTCTGTTGGTCCATCCGTTTGTCTTTCAGTTCATTCATTCGGTCGTCCAGTCGCTCGGTCGGCTGGTCGGTAGGTCAGTTATCAGCCTATTTTTCAAGCTAGGCAGCGGGTCCCTATGTCCTTGTTTTAAGCATATAACAAGCATCAATCATCGATTGATCGATAATGAAGCAACCCTTTAATCGTTGTTACCTCCTATACATGACAGGCAAAAGTTGGATAACAATGTTGTTAGTAATTTAGAATTAACATATATTTATTTTCGTGTATTTTATTTGTTTGGATCATTTTATTCCTGCATTCTTCCTCCAAATCCTTTCCCTATGATACAGCATGCCTTCCTGTCAGCCACCTGCAAAAATAACAAACAGTAAAGCCGTATTAATGAACTAGTTGCCTTTAAAAAGTACTCTGTCATGCTCCTTTCTTGATTTCACAGCTCTTGTTTTTTAATTTATCAACTGCGCTCATTGCAGAAGAGCTTTAGCTCGGCGAGAAGTAAGTATCATCCAACAAAGTGTTTTACTCTTGACTTGTACTAAAGCCAAATGGTGCTTGAGTAAATCATTGTCATTCTTGCTTTCATTGCTTTTGTTGAGCCGTTTGATGATGAAGATGATTAAGCGTGTTTTATGTTACTTTATGTTGTTGTTAGCGTTGCTTGTGGGTTGCTCGACTTTTTACTAGAGTCCAAAATGAGAGTGACAGAAGGTGAGAGCAAGATATTAAGGAAAGGCTACTTACACTGTCTACAGCTTGCTTGGCAGTTCTTCTTCATTTTCTTAGTTTCGCAGCTGCGGAAGAACATTTCCTGTTTCTTACACCACCTGTGACTTTTACGGTTTGCGCACCGCGCACGCTTTTCAATATCGTCGAAAACTGGTAACATGTCTGAGAGATGAAAAATTCAAACTGATCAATTGCTTTGGCCTGAATTTAAATAAAAAAGCACCAACATAAATATACTCTCACTCTTTTCATTGCTTTGCAAAACCTTTGATGGAAATTTTCCAGTTATCGTTTAGCGTGATTGACAACGAAGAAGAGAATTAATTTTTCTTGAAATGTACATGTGTAACAGATTTTTAACGTCATCGTGAGAGAAGTGAATGACAACAAGGCTTGAATTTGAGTGACATTTAATAAAACCTCCTGATCTTTAATTACTTAGTTTGAGGAAACGGTTGAAGTATTTTCGATCAATTATTCGAGGAATATACTGATTGAGTTGGTGATGAATGAAACTCACTCTTTTAGTATTTTTCTGTGGCTGATTATTTATTCATGCAGATATCTATCACACGGTGTCTTCGCCTTCACACATTGTTCGGACCCATTAATTGAAAATTTTATCTTTTTCCGACATCGCATGTAGTTCATTCTGACAATGCTTTTTAAACATGAAATAAAGGATTAAATGAAACATCTATCAACCGGATTAAACTCACCTTCGAAAAGCATTTTAGTAATGAGACTACTCTCCTTTTGAGCATTTTCACTATCATCAAACTTTGCGGTAGCAATTCCAATAAACATGAACAGGATGAGAGGGAGACAGCACATTCTAGTGTGAGGCATTATCGCTGTCAGTTTTTGCCGTCAGGGAGGGCGAATTTCCACCTGTTTAGGGAAGATACAGCCTTCAGTATTCGAATCTTTGTTTTCACTTGACTCTACTCTATTTAAGTTAGTTTCATTGGAATTTTACGTATATAACTGGCAGAAAAACTTGTCCTTTTTCATTTATCAAAGTTGACACAATCGCAAAAACGTATGCCACCATCCATGGTTTTTGGAGTTTCCTACATTTCATGCACCCATGAAGCTACTTGCAGGTTGAGAACCATTTATCGGAAAGTTTTCAGAAACTCTAAGCGTTACAAGTCCTTCAGTTACTTGGAAATTTAACAGTCTTTCCAATGAGCTACCTCTGTAGAAGTCAGAGATAAAGAAGTCTTGTATGACAAATTCAGTTGATTCAGTGAGTGTGACTAGTAAGAGTGTTCTGAGTTCGAACAAGAGCAACGTGGATATGATTTAAGATTAAAATTGTCACAAAACCCTACCGGAGTGATTGTCATATTAATTCTATGTTAAGAACTGAAATAACTTCATACAAACCTATCTGTAAATCCGTCTGGCTGGCTTTGGATGGAAATGAAAGACACGATCACTCATTCTATTTATGTAGAAAAATGGCCGCACATTTCCTGACCAATGTGCCATCCAATCCAAATCAAATTACACTCAATCAGAAAAAAACAAGCGATATGAGGTTACGAAATCTTACCAGAAGCAGTAGAACAGGAACAAACATGACACTGACATCCAAACAAAGCCGCCTTTCCGAAAGATAACTTTCAAACTTGCTTGGAGGTAAATTAAAGTTTGCAATGAATTATTTAGTGAGTTTTGATTACATGTTATTTTATTTCAAAGTGATAATATGAACAACTTAAGGAATTTTTTAAAAGTAATATTGAAATAAGACAAAAATGAAAACAAAAATAGAATGAATTGACAGTTTGACAAAGTGTCGATTTTGTCAAGCCTCTAATTGCAAGTGACCGGTTGAGCAATTGCCATATGGTCTTCACGCCCACTTCAATTCTTACCAGCTTTCTTAATATTAATGTTGTGGCTGTTTTATTTGAGTGAGCTGAAAGGTTTTGATTGCGCTTTATTGAAATTGAAATTTCAAATCCGCAGTAACTTAGAAGCATGAGTTGTTTAATGTCTTTGGCATAATAAGTTCTCTCATGAAACCGTGTGACCTTCATTTCAAGTTTCTCTAAGATATTGAACACGTGTTTCGATGACTTACTGGTATAAATTAGCGAAGTCTAGTTCGGAAAAGTAGAGATAGATTTCGTGAAGTGTAAGCTGGTCCAATTGGTAGCTGGTTTAGGGGAATGTAGTGATATACTCATTCTGAGTACTAACTGTAGCTTTCCTTCTCAGAACAGGCGGACCTCACTTAAACCTTAAAGCAGCTAGATTTTAAAGATAACCCTGAGCTTGTATACACCTTACAATTAAATATCATTTAAAAATTAACATAATCTAAGAAAAACTTGCTTCGGAAAATTCTACGAGTAGATAAGAGAATTATTTGCTTTTAGGAATTATTCAGCCACACCTATACTTGTGGGCCTTTGTTTTTGCTTTCGAATCGGAAATATTATTAATGATGTATCTGGTATGAATTTTGCTTATTTATTCATTCAATTTTTTTTCAAGAAAACCTCCCTCCTCGGATCTGTGCAAGATAAAAAAATTTAAAGCATTTACTTTAAACCATTGACGTGTGATTAACGCTGATGAGGTATCCTTTTGATTGTTTTTTTTTGTAAAACAGCATAAAAAATTAGGGAAGGTAGTTTCACCCCAAAAGAATCCTCTCGTGAGGCTTTATTTGTATATGTTATCTATATTTTTTTCACATTTCCATATTAAGCTCGTCAAGCTTGATCGGGGAGGAGGGGTTGAAATTTTCCTATTTTTCCATCGCCCAGAATTCAGCGACATATCCGGGACTTTCATTGAGACGCTGGCGCTAAATTTAAAAGCTAATTAGAAAACGATTATCAAACAATAGAGAAAAGGGCTGAAAATGTCGAGGAAGACTTACGTTCTGTTCGTTTACGGATAAACTACTTTTCAAATGCTTCTTTTACCATATGGCTTTTAAAGAAGAAAGGTCAATTGAACAGTGTATCATTCTCACTTTGCTCTTGCGCTTTCAGAAGAGGTCGCAAACTTGCCTAACCATTCTGACAATGGTGAAAATGGTTAGAAAGGCCACTGGCCTCATTATGGATCCATGTTAGCGTTTTCTGTAACAGTTTTCACAGCTATTTGTCTATTTGTGTTCCCTTTAAAAAAATAAGTCCATATAACTCCACTATTCTACCATTCCTTGCGCGATTTTTGCTTTATTGACTCATTGTTAGATTTCCAATAAGATTCATTTGAAAAAGTGGTTGTTGTAAGAAGCCACATTTTATTTCAGTTCCATTAAATGCATTCATCAAAAAGATCTCTTTCACGATGACGGCAAGGGTTATCATTCTAAAATGTGCATGCTGATGAGTCCTCTTGGCATCACGTTCGAGAGAAAATCATTATGTTCATTATTTGTTTACGGGATTAATAAGACTGCTTTACTTGGTTTTAAAAGAACAATAACTAGGCTCGCTAGTTATGAAAGAGTTCCATAAATTCTGCACAATCCATTACAGAAGTTTTGGCATCTTATTTTAAACTCTTCAGTTCCTTCGTAACATGCTTCATTGTAAAGAAACTCGAATGTGCAAAAATGGATGTCGCTTGGATGAGGACACTTCGTCATCCCAGGTTCTGTAGAGGAAAAAAAAATTATGGGTTTGATAATTCTTAGAATACCAATTAAATGAAATAAAGAAGTGATGACGATAA